TGTCACAGGACAGAGCCCATTACGCGAGTTCAGCGAACAAGTTAGTGTCTTTTGATTTGGCACGCTGACAAGTATCACCCCATTCGTGCTGTGAACTCGGTCTGGTTGTACGTGTATTTCGGAGCGTTCACAAGCTTGGTCCCGATGGATGTGTTGTAGGTGTAGGACGCTGAACAGCTTGACCCCCTTGGTGACCAAGCCTTGGTGCAGCAGTTTGGGAAGCAGACAACACAAAGGCAGTAGTTTTATTCAGACTTCGGTGTGGTTCTCTAGGGCCATGCATTCTGCTTGGGACGCTGCAGGAGCATTTGAAGCCATCGGCATCCCACCTCCTGTGAGAGTGCTTTATGCTCTCTTTCGTGGCTGCAGGGCCAGCGAAGAAGCGCCTCCTTCCTCGGCTGCGCGAAACCCGTCCCCGCCGGGCCTGGCGCTGCGCCTGCGCTGCACGCTGCCTCGAGCCGAGTCCGCGGAGGTGCGAAGGTTGAGCACAGCTGTCAGACAACGCCCGACTTTGGGGTCAAGCAAGTCGTATGTGAGCATGTATTTGAATTGATTTATCGAGCTCTCTAATCTTTAGCTCAAGTAGATTGATCTATGGACGCACGCATACATGAATCATGCATACATGCATGCATGCATACATCCACACACATCTATCTATCTGTCTATCTCTGTCTCTATATCTACGTCTATCTGTTTATCTGTATGCATGTGTGAGTGTGAACAGGTTTCATTTGTGTTATACGAATACAGTTGTCTGAAACAAGATCATCCCTTGCAGTAGTTTGTTTGCTGGAGCTCGCTCTACTAGGGGAACGACACAGGGGCACCGGTTCAAACGAGATGAAGTGTTGTTATTGCATGGTGCAGTCCTGTCTGAAGTCTGGAGTCGAAGCCGAAAGCGAGGTTTGTGCAGCATGATTCTGTCATAGTCATCACTTTCCGAGTACTGCTGTGTTGGGTCATAGATGTTTGCAGTTGCCTCGGTGAGGTGTCTTGTCAGAGACACATCTTTCCGACGGAATGTTTGTATTCATCTGTTCTGTCATAGACACGTCTTTGGGAGGGAGTGCTTGTAGTTAGTCATAGGCAATTCTTTCCGACGGCTCGATGAGAGTCACGACGGCCATTTAGGGTGTGACATAGTGGGATCAAACCGAGATCAAAACGAGATCCAAAGCATATGCGGAATCGGCCGTATACGCCAATGGCCCACCCATTTTTACCACTACGACCACGACTACGCCTAGGACTGCTATTATTTTCATCACGACGACGACGACGAATACTACTGCTATTACTACTACTACTACTACTACTACTACTGCTCCTGCTGCTGCTACTACTACTACTACTACTACTACTACTACTACGACTACGACTACTACTTCCACTGCTGCTACTCCTGCTGGTACTATTTTTTACTGCTGCTACTACTACTACTACTACTACTACTACTACTACTAGCCCCCCCACCCCCCCCCCCCTACCAACTACCTCGTCCTTAGCCCATCACCATCATCGTTGATGGTATTGGGTTACTATGATTACAACATAACGACAGTATTGTAAATACCGAGACAAATGGATGTGCTTCTAATAGTACGTTCATACCCCGCCAAAACCTCACCACCCCTCAACATCGGTGCTTCGTATTGGATTACGACAGCACGAAAGTAATGTGAATACCGAGTAAACTGGATGTGCTGTTGAACAGCACTCCTACTACTAGCCAGCCCGCGCCTACCAACCACTTGCTCCATCCGGGCTGGGCAGTGGCAGCTTCTAGGCTCCCTAGCTGCGACAGCTGCAGAAGATGCAGGGGCTCAGGCTCCCTATCTGTGACAGCTTCAGAAATTGCAAAGGCTCACGTTCCTTAACTGTCACAGCCGGTCAAGTTGCAGAGGCTCTTACTCAGGCCCCAAACACTGCGACAGCAGTTGGAGTTGCAAACTCGACGGGGAAGAAACTGCTAAACCACAGGTGGTCGGATATTACGAAAATGCTGTACATACCGTGCAAAACGCAGGTGCTGCCAAGAAGTTCTTAAAGCTCCTAAAGCCTCCAGCGCAACATCGAAAAAAAACAAAAACAAAGATGCCAGCGGTACATGGGAGGGGCTCGCTAACACCCCTAAAGCCCAGACCTCGGCTTAGGAGGGTGTGTTTTTGAAGTAGTGTGTGGTGTGTGCGGGCGAGGGTGCGGAGATATTGTTCGGGGTGTCCACGAAACAGTGTCGTGATCATCCCCGAAAGGCTTCCCCCCACCCAATTTCGAGTTTTCGCCTAAGGCCATCCGAAATCGTCAGGTCGAGTCCGCAAAGTCCAGAAGTAGGTTTGGTGACTATATAAGATGGTCCGGCATCACGAAAGTATTGTAATACCAAGTAAAACGGCTCTTTCGCCGTCTCAGGCTGCCTGTACGTCAATATCCCCTCGCCCCACCCCCCGCCCCGCACCCCCGCCTTCACCCTCCACCCCACTTCCCACCTTCCCCTAACCCCAATCCGAAGCCGAAGTTGTCAAAGTCAAGGAGTGGGTTTTTGGGCAAGAGACAGTGGTGTGACACGACGAACCTTTAGAGGGTTTGTAGAAAGTGGTTATTACTGTTTCTATTACTATTACTAGTACTATTATTTTTACTATTACTATTACTATTACAACAACAACTACTACTGCTGCTGCTCCTACTACTACTACTACTACTACTACTACTACTACTGCTACTACTACGACTACAACTATGAGATGGAGAATTTGTGCCAGTACTATGCATGAACGAGCGAGATAGGGGCACCGGTACGAGACAGTGTCAGCAGCCCCTAATGCAATAAGAGCAGTGGCATACATATGTATATATATATATATATAGATAGTATACACACATACATGCAAACACAGGTAGACAGATACGGATGCATTGAGAGAAAGGGTAAGTAGATTTGCAGCGAGTTCAATCCCTGTCTGCCTAGCAGAGCCCTGCTGCAGGGCCTTCTCCGTGAGCTGACGGCATCGAATCCCTCTGCGTCCCAGCTGCCCTTAGGATCTCCGTGGCGACAAAGCCCTCGACGTGACTGCAAGGTGGCCTGTGCATCTGAGCTCATCTGAGGAGTTTCGGGAAAACCTGCACCGCAGAGACCACATCTTCTGAGTGCCCAAACTGGTGCCCAAAGCGATCGAGCCAAAGACAGCTCGCGGCACACGGAGCAGTGGAGAAGTTCAGCCTGAAGAAATGACAGCTATTTGCGGTTTACCTCCGCCGCAAATATGACACATGTCTGTCCTCCACAGCACAAAGGCAAACAACAAGCACTCTTGCCAATTCAGCCCTTTTTCGTGCGATGGTGGCTTTTCGATTCTGGCCGTCACGCCAAACGCACCCACACGCCATAGTCTGCCTGCCGGGCCTTGGATCTGGGAAGCTTGGCGTCGAGCTGCCTTGGCCTTCTGATGCTACGGTGGACCACCCACCCCCACCCACCAACCACCAACCACCTCCTCCTGCTGCCTGCTTGCTGCCTACTCCGGTTGACTACGGACCACCGACTACGAAAGGACGACGACGACAGCGACGACGACCATCACTATTATTGCTGCGCTATAGCAGTCCCGTCGTCGCCGCCATTGCCACGACGTCCATCATTCCAATTTTGTTCGCAAATATTTTTGTTTGCGCAGTCACACGATCGGTCTTGGGTTTTGACTCCTTGACCGTACATGTGGGAAGCAAAACTAAGAGAGTGTTTTGCTTATTGCTGTCTGATCAAACTGTTTCGTATCGTGTGGCCTGGGTTATAGCGGTTGGAGCACATGCATCGACCACTTCCTGTAGTTAGCACAGCGACGATTTCCGAGAAAGGAGTTTGTTCCTTCAGCCTCGTCTGGTGGTTAGCATTTTTCGCCGTGACTGCGCTGCCGGCCTGTTAGATGGCATCGAAGAGACGGCACGGGGCCTTGGTCTTCAATTTTCGGCTCAACAGCTTGGTAGATTCCTTCTCTAGCCAAGTCTGATGTCTAAAGACAGCCATTGCCTCAGCTTTCGGACACCTCCTTTCTCGGTGTCGCTTCGACTTCGTGCCAGAAAAGGGCAGATGCTTCGATCTTCCAAGTGTTCCAGGGGTGGAGATTCCGACGGACGCAGCAGTGTACCATCAGGCTCACTGTCCCGGTTCACGGCTGCTTGTAAGCTCTTCGGCGATGTAGGTGATGTGAGACTCTGTGTTTGGACCGCCATGCTTGCAGACGGACCACATGCGATCGGTATCCGAAAACATCATCTTCGGCCGGCTGGTTCCAGTTCACTCCTCGGCAGAGGTGTCGCATCTGTGTCACTTTTGCCAAGACAGTTTCATGTCTGCTGTACCTGAGATTGGTACCGAGAGCTTCGACATCCGTGGAGCGGCGTGGGCTTGCGGAGTCGGATTCGCTCGGATGAAGACATTTATCTATGCAGGACCCAGAGACGAGCCTTCAGCCTCTCTGTTCTCTGGATCACGCCACCGCGGTCGGGGCCCCTGCATGCATCGACTTTGACCCAACAACCGCCAAGATGTTTCAAGGTGCCGAGCAAGTCCGAGAGTTGCTGTGCAGTTTTCCACAGGCACCAGCGCAAACCTGTGCACCACCGACGAGGCCACCAAATCCGAGACGAAGATCGCCTACCCCACCCAACCTGCTCGTCAACCGCAACATCACCGATGGTCATAATATGATGTGCTCCCTCCTGCCGTTGCCTATTGGCAACAGGCAGGGTGCCGGGCTAAGTTACCTGCTGGCCGAGTTCTTGATATGGCAAGGTTTGCTTGTTGCAGCATGCCCCGTTGCGCTTGGCCAAGCTTTGAAGCACATGCAAAAGGATTGTCTGTTGTAGTCTGGCTGCTGAGGCATGGGCGACGTCGAGTCTGGCAAGATCTACAACTTCCATGAGTCGTGCTATGCGTTTTGGCAGGGAGGCGGCATCGTCAAGGACAACGAGCCCAGCACAACCTGGTTTTCTGTCAGATGAACGAGTGCATCCCTGAGGTCGTCAAGGCCATGCCGACCTGCAGCAAAGAGAGCGTCCAGGGCAAGCTGTTCTCAGCCAGCATCACCAACGAGACGTTTGACCGTAGCACGTACATTTTGTCCCAGTTCGGTCCCCTGTTGGAGATCTGCACCTTGTTGGTGGACGGATACGTGGCCAGTGACACTGCGGTGACTCAGCAGTTCTCGCGCGACCACCGAGTGGGACACGGTTCCGTGACCAGCCCGACCCAGCGAGGCTACGCGGCTACACCGCCTTTGTGTGCACGAAGATCTCCACTCGGTGCACGCGGCATCCCCACGGAGTCCTTTGTGCAGGCGCCTTTTATCTGGGCCTCGAATGCCTCTGCAGCAGCCTTTGTGGGAGCCAACCTTGAGGAGAGCGGCATGGCCCGCCAGGCCCTGGACCAGTCCAGCCGCCACACGGACTCGTCCCTGGATGAGGAAACTTTGATCAGGAAGCTTGTCTGCGTGGTGTTTTGGATCAGGCGGCGCAGGCGTCAGTGGCCACAACGGGTTGTAGGGGATTCCAATGGATAACTAACAATCGAATTGAGACGATTGGTCTGCTGGCAAGCCGTCCGTCGCACTTGGCGACTCTTTGGAGGCCGGGTCCACTGGTTCGGATGCGCACGCGCTGAAGCTTTTGTGCCACTGCTGCATTCGGCCGCTGCAGGAGCTACACATCACCGATGCATTGATTTCACTACTGGACAGAGGTGTTGCTGAGTGTCTAGTCCATCCTGATCTGTGTTCCGCCAGGCCAGCAAGAAGCAAAGAAGGAAGCTTCAAAGACAGTTGATGAAGCAAGTAAGGAAGCAACGAAGCAAAATCGGAGTTTGGTGCTGAGCACCTTTTGTACCAACTGGCAAATGCTTTTTGGTTTTCGGTTATTCATGCTGTTGCTTTTTCGTTCAGGCTGCTGGGGTCTTGCTCAGGTCCATCTGTGCGCATGTATAAATCTATGTATGTACGCGCGTACTTATGTATGTATGTATGCATGCAAGTATGCATGTATGCATGTATGTACGTATGATGGTATGTATGTAAGTGTGTATGTATGTATGTATGTATGTATGTATGTACGTATGTATGTATGTATGTATGCATGCATGTGCATGACAGTGGCTGGTCTTCGGGGTTCATTTGGCCGAGCTTGTACCCCTTGTCCTGTCACGTGGCATTTGCCCAGGACTCATCGTCGCAAGGTCGCGAACCCCCAAAGCGGCACGAAGAGCACCCTCTTGGAGTTTAGGGTTTAAACATTAAAGCCTAAACCCCCAACCCCAAGTTTTACAAGCCTTCCACTTCTCGCTGTTCGTCGATCCAGGTTTTAGGGTTTTACCTGCCCACTTGTCTCTACCCCACGCATGCCGCGTCGCGAAAGAATATTCTGTTTCTTGCATTGCAATGGTTCTTCCACCCACAACCTTGCCTGTGACACTTGAACCCTGAACCCTAAACTTTACAAGCTTTACAAGCCCGAAACAGCTGGAATGCATTTCAGGTGTGTGGGGTTTCGGGTCTCCCGTCTCTGCGGTTTATTTGAACATTCCATCCAGATTTTTTTTGAACATTCCATTTCGGCTTACAATCCATAGCGTGGTTTGACAATGGGCAACAGGGCAGCTATTGTGGGTGCAGTTGTGGAGGAGAGCGAGCCACAAAGCACAAGTCTCATGCGCAGAGCTGCAGAGGCTGGTGAAGCTTCGCCGCCGGCCAAGTAGGAATGGCAAAGTGCACATACTGTAGCAATTGGAGTCGTATGTCATACATGTGTTACGGCACAACGGTGTGAAACATCATAAGTTTAGTGGCTCACCTTGGCTTTTGGCTTGTGTTCGCTCTACAGGAATTGCCGAAACGCTGACTACGGCTTCTCTTTCGAAAAGCTTAAGATGCAAATCTCTTGACCTGTAAGCAGACCTCATTCAGTCGCGAGCCGAACGGTGCAAAAGCACGAGCACAGCGACCACGACACCAACAACGACAACCACCTCAGGGTGATCCTGGCAGCCAGATGAATTTCAACACCGGAACCGTCGATTGTTGTGATGCTTGCCATGATGATGAATGATTATGGATGATGATGATGGTGGTGATGATGGTGTTGACGAGGGTGATGAGGGAGCCTTCACACGTCGGGCGCATGCTGCTCTCGAAGCCTGGGGCGGGCGCCTGGTGAACTTCTGATTAGGTGAAAGTCTTCCCGATCCGTGTGCACGAATTGAGAATGCCAGGATCAGCTGAAGCACCTTCGGCAGGTCCAAGCCTCTGGCTACGGTTTTGCTGCTGTCCTTTGTGCTCACAATGTAGGCGGTGCAGGGTTTAGGGGGTTTTCGGATTTGCAGGTCGGCGTTCCGCTGTACCCAGTTCCTTGGAGTTTAGGGCATTAAGGCTCACGGAACGATAGGAACATGATAGGAGGATGACTTAGCCGGTTTGGGGTCGGACAATACTCATGTCGAAGCCTCCGTCCGGTCAGTTCGCGCGACACCATTCGCAAGGCAAGACTATACTAACGAACGCTAAGATCGCTCTTGATATAGGGGCCTTATCATTCAATTGCTAATATTTTTTCAGACCTCCATATTCGGATTGAGTTGTTCCATGGAGCCTGTTCGAGTCATTTGTCGTGCCTTCTGGGTTCAGTAGTGTTCAGGATTTTTTTGTGGCAGCCTGTGCCAGTTGTTCCTTGGATTCGTAGCCTCAGATGAGAGCTTGCCAGGATCTTCGGTTTCATGGGAACCGGAACTGAGTATTTCAGGCCCCCCATTTGTGCCGGCACTGTTCCTTCCATGATTGCATCCTGGGTTTCTAGGGGTGAGGTTTTGCTCAAGCAAGACAGGGTGTGGGCATTGCAGCCGCACTGCAATACACTGCATCAGCTTTCTGATTTCAGACTCGTCATACACTACGAATCCTATAGGGGCAGAGGCCCTCGCACGCTGTGGGATCAGTGGTGATTTGATGTCCAGCTTCGGACTGGCTGAGGACAACAAAAGCAGGCTGAACCGTGCGCCGAAGCCACGCCCCGAGCCTCGGAGCCCCAGGCGGCGCTGCCTCCCTGCACGCCACGGCTCCCAGCAACAAGGGCAGTGCCTTCGAGGGGGCAAGGGCGCGAACACCCTAGGCAAAAAACCTTAAACCCTAAACCTGCAACTTCGGACACTTATTGCCATGCCTGCTTTGCGAGTGTGTGAGTCGAAACCCTAAACCTTTTGGGGCTAGCCTCTCTGAGCCTGAACCCCGAAGCTGCTGCCCTCGCTGGGGTTCCGCGGTTTAGTGAGTTTATTTTCATGGTTCGGGGGGTTTAGCTTGAAGATTTAGAGATTTTGGCATTCAGGGATGCGATGCCCCCTGACGGACCGAGTCACAACACAGCCCGATCACAAGTCCCGGTGCTACTCAACCTCCTTTCGCAACAGCTGAGTAGCTTCTCTTCCACACCACCTCAACTCAAGAAGCCGTACGCTTCCGAAATAAGCTGAGGCCCAGGCAATCACCGACGCCTGCAGTGCCTCGGCGTGTCAATGGGAGCAGCCACTAGCTGATTGTAAGGATTCTGTTTCGCAACGAAAAACAGCACTCCACATTGCCGGACGCCGGCCATGTGGTCCCGTATCGTAGCGAGACAAGCAGCAGTGCTGCATTCTTGTCTGTGATGGCCCGAGTAGGCCCAGAGCCTCAGAAAGCCTTGAAGTGCAGCAAAGCCCCGAGACCCTTCTCGAAGACACGCAGCTGCGCTTCGGGGTGGATGCGGGCTGCATGAGACGTGTTTTTTCACTGGTGAAACTCGTGCCCACTGGAAGTGAAGAGAGTTTCATTCCAGTAGAGCTTTGGCCCGAAATTGTTCTCGTTCAGTTCTCAAAAAGTCGAAACCGCATCCGGCCCAGGGGCCCAGAATTCGAAGAGACGGTGGAGGTGGAGGAGAGCCGCCGGGAGATGAGCCCCTGGATCTCCCGAGGCCTCGCCTGGTGATCTGTCCTTTGCTTTTTGATTTTGGTTTGGGGGTAAGTGTTTAGGGTTTATTGTGTTTTGGGCGTTGGATGCAAAAGTTTGTAAGCTTCGAGCTTAAAGCTATCTGAGTGCAAATGTGGAGTTCCGCATCTCGGGCTGGGAAACTGAGGAGGCTCTTGGCCATCGGCTTGCCAAAGCTGAATGCACTTTCGCACCAGGTTGTCGCTGCAACTCTCACAACTGCCTGTGGCCTTCTCAGTGTTCCACGAGCCGCTCAGCTGCAAAGCCCTGTAAATGTAAACAAAGAGGAGCTTGCATGTCCTGTCAACGGCCGATTGCGTTGTGGCAACTGGCAGATCACGTAGACATAGAAGTTGCGATCAGCAGCTATACGCCAAGCTTGCACTATCACGCTGTCGTTGTGTGTTCATGTTTTAGTTGAGCTCGGTCGTGAGCACATGGTGGGACAGTGTCGAAGCGATGCAGAGTTGAACAGAGCCCGCGGCCACGGGCCCCCTGCTTTTCGGTGCACGCCTTTTCGTGTCTAGAATGCATGCAAGAGCCAAGCCTGACTTTCAGAGGCCCTGGTCGTGTTCTAGTCTTCGCCAGTCTACGCAGCTTCGTGTTCAGTGCTGAACCCGTAGGTCTCGCAAAGAAGTGAGGATGCGCTGTCGTGCCGGCCAAGCATACCATCTTTTGACATCACATGTGGGCGTTTCGTTCAGGTATCTGATTAAGCCCAGGCTGTTTTTTCGTTCAAGGGGACTTCAGGCGCCCGGTTTGCGATCCTTTTGAAGCGAGCACTCGTTGAACATGAGTCCTGGGCGTGTTTCCTTGTGTTTCCTCCCCGACCGTTGGACCGGAGCGTTTCCTATAAGCCATAAGCGCGCTAGCCCCGAGGCAGGAAAAGATCTTCTTGCAACATGTGACCGTACTCCTGAGAGCAGGATATCAGAAAATCCATGCCCGAAGCTGGTCTTTGTCATGGTCATATTTTCTGGCACTGGTTATCAACCCGGCGTACGAATGGCATCACATTGAATATAGCAGGAAGAACGACGCTAATAGAACTGCAGCCCCAGAGTAAGAGCCTCAGAGCCAAAAAAGGTAACCTCATTGCCTTTGATCAGTGGGAAGATCAGGATCAAGAAATCTGCCTTACCCATACATATCTGAGAGAATGGTCGTCGTTCACACCATGTAGACAGTCGGTGATGGTCGTGATGGTGTGCTGTGGAGTTAATGCTCTAGCAGCAAGACCAATGAGAACACCGCCCCTGCAATGCCTGTCACATTAGACCACCATCATCAGTAGTATCAGAGACACCACTCTCAGACTCTCCGATGGCAGCCACCGGAGCCACGGAGAGAGTGTTGCTGATCTCCTTGGGCTCCCGAGGGGACATGGAGCCCTTCCTTGCCATGGGCGAAGAGCTGCAGGTGGCTGGGCATTCTGTGGCCTTCTGCATGCCTGCGCAATTCCAAAGTCTGGCCGAGGAGGTCAGCAAGACCTTCTATGCGATGGACAAGGCTTTCTTGGAGCTGGTAGAGAACGAGGACGTCAAGGGGATCATGGCCCA